ATGCCTCTTGTACAGAATGTGAAGCTGGACAGGCTTGTACTGATCCTGCTCAGGCACCTAAACACTGTGTTAGTGGCACTTACAGTCAAAAGGTTTGTACCAGGTTACATGTTATACCAGTGGCATACTCTTTTGTCTAAGGAATATGTTTAAGCCATTCCAGGTAAATTTCTGTTTTCGACTGTCTTCTGTGAGATTAGCAAAAGGAGAGTTGTGATCTCATTTCACATACAAAGTGTCACGTATTACATAATATATACTTCTAGCTACTTTTATCGATGGTGGTTTTCTCACAAATTCACAAATCCCGTATGTCTTTTAGTTGCTTTTCACATGTCACACTAATTTTTTTGCCTCATCACGTGTCACGCATGTGCCCTTTGCCACCCTGTTCTGTATGTTGTGGGAATATTTGACTACATATCTCTCACATGGAGTTAAGCAAGGGCTTTTAAGGTTGGAAGAGGTGGAAACATATTAATAACATAAAAATATTATACGTAATGTAACACATGTATGTATGTATGTGTACTTAATAACAATACTAGTATTAAATTATAAAATAAAATTCCAACAGGGTGCAACATCTTGCAAAGATTGTCCTGCTGGTTACAGCTGCCCATCTCCTAGCTCTGCAATTGCACTTTGTGCTGCAGGAAGCTTTTCCGTGAGAGGACAAGCAAACTGCACAGACTGTCCAATTGGATACATGTGTCCATCACCAAAGCAAAGGCCTGTACGATGTTCACTTGGAAGCACAACATTTGGTGAAGGTGGGAAAGAGAATTGCACAGCATGCCCTGCAGGCTTCCAGTGTCCTAACCCAGAGTAAGTTATGCTACGGTTACTCAATGTTCACTGATAAACAGTTAATTTCTGGTTGCAGTATGAGAACTTTGTCAAGTGATGCAGATTCCAAGAACAACAGTAACAATGACCACTACTAACAATGATGACAACTATAAATGATTTTATTTCAGGTCAAATGCAACAGCCTGTACAAATGGATCTTATAGTATTGGCAAGTCAGTGCGATGTTTAGCATGCCCTGCTGGTCACAAGTGTCCCACAACTAATGTAAGCATTATTAGAAGTTTAGTTATTTACAGCTTGGAATAATGCAACAGTACAGCAACTGAGAGTTCCTCCTTTCCTTGAATGTTTATTGTATCTAATGGAAACAGATAGCTATATGTGCTCTGCATCAGAGGTGCAAAATTGTAAAACTTGTCTCTTTGGTGTTTTCTATCTTAATTAGTACACTTTTGTGTTCAAGTGTCCTTCAATTTATAGATAATTTTGTACATGGACAAAATAACTCAAAGTAACTTTACTAAGCTCTTTTCAATACTCTTAAAGGAGCTACATCACGGTTTGTGCATATTGAAAAGTTTAGCCTCAGTTTTTCAAATTTGTCGTTTGCAATCCATGTTAATCTTCTCCATCCTTAGCCATCCTTGTTCCTTTATGGTTTATCATTATCTCTTTGGTGTTTTTCTATCTTATTAAACTGTTATTTTCAGGTTTCCTACCATTTAAGGTAATTTTGTATGTGGCCAAACTAACTCAAAATACAGTGACTGAGCTCCTTCAACTAGTAATTAAACATGTGAAAAAGTGACGCTCATATGTTCCATGCTTTCTACAGGCATACCCAGTCCCTTGTAATCCTGGCCAATACAGTGTCGCTTACAGCCTGACTTGTACAGACTGTCCAGCAGGCATGGAGTGCCCCTCAACTGCAATGGNACTGTCCAATTGGATACATGTGTCCATCACCAAAGCAAAGGCCTGTACGATGTTCACTTGGAAGCACAACATTTGGCGAAGGTGGGAAAGAGAATTGCACAGCATGCCCTGCAGGCTTCCAGTGTCCTAACCCAGAGTAAGTTATGCTACAGTTACTCAATGCTCACTGATAAACAGTTAATTTCTGGTTGCAGTATGAGAACTTTGTCAAGTGATGTAGATTCCAAGAACAACAGTGACAATGACCACTACTAACAATGATGACAACTATAAATGATTTTATTTCAGGTCAAATGCAACAGCTTGTACAAATGGATTTTATAGTGTAGGCAAGTCAGTGCGATGTTTAGCATGCCCTGCTGGTCACAAGTGTCCCACAACTGATGTAAGCATTATTAGAAGTTTAGTTATTGACAGCTTGGAATAATGCAACAGTACAGCAACTGAGAGTTCCTACTTTCCTTGCATGTTTATTGTATCTAATGGAAACAGATAGCTATATGTGCTCTACATCAGAGGTGCAAAATTGTAAAACTTGTCTCTTTGGTGTTTTTCTATCTTAACTAGTAAACTTTTGTACTCAAGTGTCCTTCAATTTACAGATAATTTTGTACATGGCCAAAATAACTCAAAGTAACTTTACTAAGCTCCTTTCAATACTCTTAAAGGAGCTACATCACAGTTTGTGCATATTGAAAAGTATAGCCTCAATTTTTCAAATTCGTCGTTTGCAATCCATGTTAATCTTCTCCATCCTTAGCTGTCCTTGTTCCTTTATGGTTTATCATTATCTGTTTGGTGTTTTTCAATCTTATTAAACTGTTATTTTCAGGTTTCCTACCATTTAAAGGTAATTTTGTAAGTGGCCAAAATAACTCAAAATACCATGACTGAGCTTCCTCAACTAGTAATTAAACATGTGAAAAAGTGACGCTCACATGTTCCATGCTTTCTACAGGCATACCCAGTCCCTTGTAATCCTGGCCAATACAGTGTCGCTTACAGCCTGACTTGTACAGACTGTCCAGCAGGCATGGAGTGCCCCTCAACTGCAATGGCACCCACTAAGCAATGCATTCCAGGTATCATCACAAGTTCCTGCTTATTAATTGCCTAAAGTAAGATCGTTTTGAATTCATGATTAATAGTTTATTCATGTGGTGCTTCCATCCACAGTGGAACCCCATCTTATGGCCACCCTCTTAGTATGGCCATCTTGTTATTATGGCCACTTTATTCTGGTGTGAGCAAGAATTTAGCCAGTTGTTTTCTTAGTTAAAGACCTCCTTTAATATGACGACTCTGTTAACACAGCCAGATTTTTGTGACCCATTTGTGACCGGATTAATTGGGTTTCACTCTAGTTTCTATGACATGAAGTGTTTATATTATCCCAAGTCAGAGGGTTGCTCATTCATATTTGCCCTTAATCTATTTTGTTTTTACCCATCTCTTTAGGGACATATTCTGATGGAAATGCCCAGTTTTGTACTGTGTGTCCAGAAGGAAAGTTCTGTCCATTCACTAACACTTCTACAGAGCTAGACTGTGATGATGGAACCTACTCATGGGGTGCCCAGGAACGGTGTACTCCATGTCCCAGTGGATGGAAGTGTCCAAACAAGGATGGAACTGGGAATGTCAAATGCCTACCAGTATGTATGCCAGTTCTCATTATTATGTGGAACAAAAGTGTGTGAATTAAGTTTAGTTCCATTTTAACTATTCATTGTATTATAGATAGTGCATAGTGTTGGTGGCATTCTATCTGTAGCCATAGCCAAATAATAATGATAATGATATAATGACAATGATAGTGATAATGATAATGGCAATGACAATGACAATGACAA